CAGCAGGAAGGTTTTTACTTAAGTTCTGAAGAGCAAAGATCTGGAGATCCTTTTTCTAACAGTAGAGATCTTCCACATGATACCTTGCTTGCCCTTTGTAAGTTATTTATTTGCTGAACAAGAGAAAAATCTATTTCTTGTGGGTGCACATCTGTATGAGAATGTGCGTGTTTATGTATGATTGTATATGGATTTTCATACCTAATTATTATTCTCAGACTTAATTATTAATTTTGTCTTTCTCACTACCCTGATGAAGCTGCATTGCAATTTTTCTCATGCCTTTATGATTACTTGTTTGTATCAACCTTTAAGTTTCTTGGTCCAAGTATTACTAACAATTTCTAGGTTTAGATAGTCATTACTCTCCGGTTCATTTGTAACGTAAATATTGTCTTTTTTATGCATTTACTTAGGTGGACTTGATTTGTGGCTGTTGCCCTTGCATTTTTCTGATGAGAACAGTTTTGAGGAGTTCATGTTTTTGCAAAGAAGCCAACCTAATGACTATTACAAAAATGCAGTGAAATATTTACAACTAGCTCTCAATTCAGAACCTTCTGCTTCAGCTGCATTACTTCCATTGGTACAGGTATGGGGTATGACATACATTTCAATGAACTTTGTTTGGAACTGCTAAACTTCATTTTTTTTTTAATTTCATTGAAAGAGTTGCTTGGTAAACTGAAAATCTGGTTCAGAACTGTTGAAATAATAATTTGTTACATAACCTGTCAAAAAAGTTTAATTTTTATACATTGTTGGTAAAAACTTTTCTACATTATCATCTAATCATTAGTCAGCACATCACCAATAAAATTAAACACATTTTTGTTCAAATTAAAATGTATTGGATGAAAAACCAACTCTATACAGGATTTTGTTTGAACTTAAAATCTGATTATTAATGGACTAATCTTTGAAACTTTTAGCCTTTTAGGGATTACCACACAAGATTCATTTCTGCTCAATTTCTTTATGTAATCATTTGTTTTTTGGAGTTTGGTAAACAACTAAACATTCCCATGAAGTTGCCCAAAATAAGTAAGCCTAATTATGGATTAGGTCAGTGCAATGCATTTATTATCATTGCATGATTCCTGAAAATTATATGGATTGGCACGGTAATAAATCTTGCTATTGTCAACAACCAGTCCCTGCTGCCTTTTCATATTTTTGCTTCTTGGACTGCATTTTTGATGGTCATAGATATTTCAGTATGCTTAATTATTGTCCATGACTTTGCTCTTATCCTTTAAGAATGATAATTTACAATGTGTTCCTAGGTTTCAATTCATTCTAAATATTTAACAGGACAACCCTTGCTTCTATGGCTTTTAAGAAAATAGTGTCATTGCTTCTCTTTCAAAGGATATCCTTATTATGTGTGTCAATGCTGATATCTATGTCTTTTTACCTCACTGCCAACTCTTTTTTAATACACTTTTATCACACTACTGTTGTATTATAGAAACATATGAGACAACCTTCTATGTTTCTTTGTCACATTCTGGCTTTTTAAAACCCTCTTCAACACCAGAGGTCTTTGTTGTTTGTACAAGCTCTGTAGTTTGGTCCTGTGGCATATCATGCTCCATTCTTTGCCTCCCAATATCCTACACTCCCTTTTTAGTAATAATAATATTTGTTGCTAGATGATGACGACTACATTGATGAATTTCGTTTCTGAAATATGGTAATATTAGAGATATGGAACTTTTTCTAGCTTCCACCTAATATGGCTGAAGCTGATATCCTTAACATTATACCAGAGCCTCTGTGAGCAAATGTAACATTATCTAAGGGTTCAATCCTTGTAATTCCCATTTTCATAATTAAATTAAATTTCAGGACATGGTTAAGTAGACCTGAGCACACCTCAATTCTTTCCGTGCAGGAAGCGGGTGTGTTATAGATAAAAATAAATAAATTCTCAAGTCTCAACCCTGGAGGTTTTGGAATACTGGGTCCTTTGTGCATGCTTAGTCCTTACCCCTTCCATATACTTATTTTATTTACACACATAATATGGAAATATCTGTGGCTTGGATTATATGAAACCAATTATCCATCTTAACTTGCACAAAGCAACTGCTGATGTTGTGCTCTCCAATCTCACTGCATGTTTCCTTTTCTGCTTACACATGCACACATGCTATATACTACATTATATGACTATTGTTTTCTGCATAGAACAATGTTTCAGATATCAACAACGACTTCACTTCATTTTTTGTTGTTAGTTGTTGCTGATTGGAGGTCAAGTTGATGAGGCTCTAAATATGCTTGAGAAGCAACGCTGTAAGTCAGCCTCTGTACTCCCAATTAGGTACGTTCCTTATGATTAGTAGCAATGTAGTCATTAAACCAGCAATTTCTAAGATAAGCAAGCTGTGATATTTTACTCATAATGCTATCTGTTATGTTTTCTGAAGTTACTGTTGTACTCACCTGTAGGGTAAGGGCTGCTCTCTTGGAGCGTTTAGATCGAAACAACTCTCCCTTGCTTCTTAGCTGTTTTGAAGATATATTGAAGAAGGATCCAACATGTAGTGATGCCTTAACGAAACTTGTCAAGATGCACCAAAATGGTACTTACTTTCTGAATCATGTCTTTTATATGATTTGAACAATTTATATCTCTATTTAACTTGAAACGAGTCCAATGTCAGTTTGAAAAGGGGTGTTAAAAAATGTAATGAAAAGAGGAGGGAGGAAAAGAGAAATAAGTGATAAGGAAAGAGTTGACCGGAGTTCATTTGGAATTATTGTAAAATTCCGAGCTTTGATTTTTCCGCTCAGTTGTTATCTTTTGTACTAGCCTCTTCAAATACAAATAAGTTTTCCTTCAATTGAAAAATTCATGTGACACTTTTAAATTAGACACATGCATTATGTCTATTAGCAGAATAAATAATAATGTAATCTCCTCAGTAATTGCTTCTTTAGCCTACAATGGAGGAGAGGGGAGTGTAGCATAAAATATATATTAGGATTGGCAAAAAGACTGTTCAAAGAGAAGATAGAAATCACAAAGGAAATAAGTGACATACTGGAAGTTGCCAAAACAAATTAACATCTGTAAAACAGCTTTAGCTGCTGGAAGCCCAGTAGTCAGTCAATATCTATCAGACACTGATGCTGCTTCACCCTTCAATGAAATAGATAAAAATAGAAGATTGAAGCACAAATGTCGTTTCTTAAGAAAAACATCTAAAAGGTCATTCTGGCAAATGAACTTAGAGTACATCTGCAAGTATGATAAAGATGAAAAAGGTGATAAACTTTCATATCCTACCTGAAGTGTCATGTAGTGTCCACTCTGTTTCAGAAAATTAATGCCCATCCGTATTGTCTCTGGTGCATCAAGGGTTCAAAACAGCATCAAACTTCCCCTTTCTAGGGAATTCAACATTCCTGTCAATCCAGAATGAGGTTATAAGATGGAACAAATCTTCTGCAAGAGATACACTAGAATAAAGAAAGAATAAACTTAAAGGCCAAATTGTCTGAGTTTTACTATATTTTTATTTGGGGGCAGATTGTACTATTCCATCAACTTGGTGGATGACTATAGTGTAGGATTATTAGTTTTAGTACTGTATTTATATTACTTCAAATTTTATATTCCCAGTTAGAGTTGCTCTACTAATTATTGTATATCTGGGTCTTGGATTGCATTTAGGCTCGGGGTTTGTGTTAATTAGGTCTTATTGGCTGATATTTTAATCCTCCAGTTTCACTTACGGGTTCAATAGTATTAGAAAGTCTCAATTGTTATGGGATTAGGATTGTATTTCTTGGAGAATAAGTTGTATTAGGATAAGATCTTAGTTTTCATTGTTGTTCTGTGTAAAGGTATTGAAACAATTAAAATTAAATAGATATATTTATATAAAATATTAAAGTCCAATTGCCTCTCCCATGTCCTCACTTAACCGCATATTATAATTATTTCATTATCTTACCAAATAATATAAATTATTATTTTAAAAAAGAAATAGTTCATTTTACCCATAAATACACCGTCAGTCATTGGTCACATTCATCAAAGGCCAACTATCAACTCTTTCCAAATCTCTTTTATTTTCATTTCTAACATCTTACTTTATGTTTTTGATAAACCAGTATGCTAAGTATTGTTATTTTCCCTTTCACAAAATTTTATTTCAAAAACAAAAAAAACTTTAATAGAATATTTGTCATAATTGAAATATAGGAAAAAGATACAATAAAAGATCCAACACCACCTCAGCAACATAATCAACTGCCTGCTCTGCACTAGTTGCTAACATTCTGTCTATGCTTTGACTTCCACAACCACAAGTAGTTACGGCAGAGCAACAAGAAGCTACTGTTACCTGAATTGCAGCAAACCCAACTGCTCTTCCACCTCCCACTACTCTTTATTCTTTGTCTGTTTGAGATAAGCTAAAGGATAAGTGAGTGGAACGAGAGTTTTTAGAAAGCTGAACATTTAGTGGGTGATAAAAATACAAAAAATGAAAACTCTAAATGAACAGAAAATATATAAGCAAAAATTAATTTTCATTAATGGAAATCATTATATCGTTGATGTAAACATACCCCTCGCTTATTTTAGCTGTACTTTTTAGAGCATACTAAGCTGTCAATGCAGCAAAAGGAATGGCACTGACTGCCTACAAGATTAAAAGGAAAAAAAAGAAGGCAAAAATCATGCCTTCAATAGTCCAAAGTAAACGTGGGGGAAAATCATGGTCAATTGTTAAATGTAGAAACTAATAATTATTTTGTAACAAGTAAATCACGTGATTGATGGTAAAATCACTGTATTGGACATACACAGACAAAGTGATACCCTTATATGCTTAATGATACATTTTCCCTATGTCATTAATTTGTTTATTCTGATACTTTACAGGAGACTATTGTCTTGAATCTCTGTTGGAAATGATTGCTTTACATTTAGATGCTACAGATGCAGAATACAATACGTGGAAGGTATTCTGTTCATGTTTCTGTAAACTCTCTAACTACGAAGAAGACTGTATGTCTTCATGCCCCATTCAAAATGAAGATGAACGCCTGCAGCATTGTTCCTTTACCAAAACCCCTAAAATATTTACGGATGGTGTGTTGGGAAAATCTTGGAGGCTTCGCTGCAGGTGGTGGCTAACAAGACATTTCAACGATCACAAGCTCCAATCAGAAATAGAAGCTGGTATATGTTGTGTTTAATTTGATCAACTATAGATGTACTACACTACTATCCAATCATGTATTATCATACCGTTTGAAGAGTTTGACAATGAGAAAACTTACATAGGAGGTCAAACTCTTCTAATGATGTTGATGAAATGCGATTAAATTAAAAGAATTTACAACATCCGTCTATATCAACTTCATTAGAAATATTGCAACATATTCACACACAGTTACTGTTTTATTTTAGCCATGTTAATTTATTCTTCAATTGTATATGGATCAGGTGATTTGCAGTTAGTTACATACAAAGCAGCATGTGCATCGTATATGTATGGACGAGAGTTCAACTATGTTGCGAAGGCTTATTCTCATTTAGAGAAAGAAAATGATAAGGAGTTATTGTTGTTCTTGGATGAGCACATGGGAAGTTCATTTGGAATTTATAAAAATTTCAAAAGAAATTTACTCATATAACATAATAGTGTTAAATATTTATTGCAGTGGTTAATCATTGTTTGATTACTTTCTTTATCTCAGTTTGGAACTTTGGATGAGTTTTATGGTTTCTAAGCACGGGCAAAAAATCCAATTAGTCCAAACCTACACATGATTGCACCACTCAAATTCACTTAGAGTCCATTTTAATGGACCGTTCTTTTTATCCATAACCGTTATTTATTTTGTTTTTGAATCCCTAGTCTGTTCTTCGGTGATATGGACTTTACAAATGGAAACCCGAAGTCCTAAGTCCAAATTCATATCTCCCTCTCCCATTCTCAATCAATAGCTCCAAACTGAAAGTCCAAATTCATGATGAATTGCACTGTCACACCCTAATCACTCAGTCTCAAAAACCACAATTGCTCAAATCGTTTATCTCATTGTTTTTTTGTTGCGATTCTGACTCTCGTATCGGGTCTCAAACTGAACTTGAATAAGGTATTCTCTCATTGTGATTTTGGGTTTTATGTGACATTTTTCTTGTTGCTTCTGACATAGACCCTTTAGCTTAGTATCTGAAATTCACGTTCCTTGTTTGGTTTAATGAAATTTCTTGTATGTCAGATCTTGAGTGTATGTCTCTTACAGCAATAAATTGGAACTGATTTTGTATCGTAATTAGGAAAATGGTTGACTTTAATATCTTAGTAATTTTATTTCAAGGTGATTCGGTTTAAGGGCCTTTTGGCATGTGGCTGGGAGTTTCCTGAGTGATATTCGTATCATCTATGGCTATGGCATTAGTATTATTCACACTGGCATTGCAAGCTTTCATTAATATTTTTGGGTAATGGTTTTACTCTTTTTCCTTTATTACTTTCAAGTATTTGAATGTTTGTTATTATCTCTGTTTTACACGGGTGCTGAAGTACTCTCCAGTGTGGTTTTTCTTTCCATATACCGTTGCTTTTCCTGTTTTGAATCCCTGTCACCTTTTATTTTGGCTATTATCTTATGATTTGTAAATACGTATTTATTGTTCTAAATTTTTTTCATATTAGAGTGCTACAAGTTTTCATAATGTAAAGTAGTTTCTGAAAAGAGTAATTTAAATTTTTTTATTTGGAAAGCGGTGCTAAGAGCAAAATATGCGGTGTGAATAGCACAGCTTTCTTGAATGGGTGTTCTAGTAGCATGGATTTCTTTTCCGTTTTTGGTTGAATTGGTACCACGCAGGCTTACCAGCTCTAATAATTTCGTGATCTATGTGGCCATAACTACTGTTCCATTCTAAGATTGTCTTGTTAATAATTTCTTTGCTTACCTAAAACAAATATAGAAAAAAATTTCGGTTTGCAAACAGAAATAATCCAAATCGGTTTTCCAAAACCAAAAGGTGTAGTTTGGTTTAGGTGACCAGTTTATGATAAGAAAATAAATTATTATGAATTTCAAGATTTTAGTCTATTTTTTGGTTTTATTTCGTGTAAAATTTCAGTTTTATAATATTGCATGCTACAATTAGTTATTGTTCTTTAGTGACCAAATATTTATTATATTTAAACAGTGGGATTGAAATACTCTGTCTTTATATTTTTTTATTGGTGTATAAATGATCAGTATTTGTTAAATTAACTGAAGTTGTGTTTAATTTTTAAATCTCAAGTCTTGAATTTGTAAGAATAATTAATTTTTAATATTATTTTTTATTATTAAAAAATTTAAGAATAAAATAGTTCAAAAATTGTGTACACAAAAATAGGAAATTACAATAGGAAATCACTTTTATATATAGGTATTTATACATAGTATATGTATTGTTTTACTTTATGTTATTAATCTCTTTACTAAAAACACATGACTAAAAATTATATAATAAATATAACTAAATTAAGACATGTGACTCTAGATAAAATCACGAGAACATCATAATGAATAGAGAATAAAAAAAGAAGAAATAGAAGAAAATATTAAGTATTAAAGTGTATAATGTATTAATCTAAAAAATAATTAATTAGATCATCGAGTTGTTTCAGGTTAGAAAAAGATAAATTTGACTATCGAACTGATTATAATTGGTATGGGTCAGATTTGAAGTGAAATGAGATTAATTGAATCAATCAACCCAAACCAACTTAATTTGATTTGTATTATGAGGTTCGTCTGGTCAATTCAATCGAATGAACAAATTCCTACCATTTTCAACTACCTTTACACTAAACATGGTAAATTCTTAATCTTACAACCTTACCTCTTTATATAAGTATGTATCTATTTTATTTTATGAAACGTATTTTATTATTTATTAAATTAAATTAACAATATTTTTAATTATTTACATAACTAATTAAGTTTTTATTTTATTTTTTAGTTAATATTACACTAAATAAGATGTTTATAAATCACCATTAAAATAATATTTTATCAATGAACACCATGCTCTTTAAGTGCTAATTACTAATTCTCTTTCAGCAATCTAAAATATTTTAGCCACATTTTTTTAATACTTTTTTAGCCCTCTCTTTTATTGTTGAGCCCAGTTTGAAGTTTGCTTTTAAAATATATCAAATAAGTAGATATGTGATCTAAACTAAAGAGTATAACTTTGCTTATTTCATATAATTTTATTTTACGATTCTCGAAAAAAGACCCTTCTGTTTTTTTTTTTTCTCTCTTTAAGAACATAATTGATACAATAACAATTAGTATTATCTTAACCTCTTCAAGTAACAAATGTTTCTTTCCTAATTAACCAACCCTTATAAAAAACAAGTAATAAGGATTTTTTAAAAAAATTTTAAACTTATCCTAACTGAGATCAATGGTCAATTATAATCACGTGACTTGTCAATCAATTTGTCCATGTTATTTTCCTTTGTTTCTCTGTTTCTGTATACTGTATCGCAATATAAACAAAAATAGGAGTAATATTTTAGTAGCTACTAAGTAGAAAGAAATAATGGTAGGTAAGAGTCCCGAACATCACGTACGTAAAAACATTAATCCTTTGTATTTGGTTTGTGGAAGACCACGCTAGTTGTTGAAGCTATTTATAGCACACACGTTTAGAAAAACGTAGTGTCACTGCCTCCACATGAGATTCACGATGTCTTCCATTTATTTCCAATCCAATCCCACGCGTCTCTCCTTCATTTCTGCCACAATATTTGCCATCAATCCCATGCTACCAAATTTTAGATCTTATATAGTTCAATTTCATCAACATGTTTATCAGGATTTAAAACTAATTGTGTATATAAAATAGTTTTTCTTTGAGCATGTACTTATCAAATTTTTTATATTCCATTCAAAAACTCATATTTTATATCAAATTTCAATGATTAAATAATTAAATTTAAAATTTTTAATGTATAGATTAAATTTGTAAATTTTAAAAAAATTTAAAAATTATCTAATATTTTGTTAACTACCTTTACACTAAACATGGTAAATTCTTAATCTTACAACCTTACCTCTTTATATAAGTATGTATCTATTTTATTTTATGAAACGTATTTTATTATTTATTAAATTAAATTAACAATATTTTTAATTATTTACATAACTAATTAAGTTTTTATTTTATTTTTTAGTTAATATTACACTAAATAAGATGTTTATAAATCACCATTAAAATAATATTTTATCAATGAACACCATGCTCTTTAAGTGCTAATTACTAATTCTCTTTCAGCAATCTAAAATATTTTAGCCACATTTTTTTAATACTTTTTTAGCCCTCTCTTTTATTGTTGAGCCCAGTTTGAAGTTTGCTTTTAAAATATATCAAATAAGTAGATATGTGATCTAAACTAAAGAGTATAACTTTGCTTATTTCATATAATTTTATTTTACGATTCTCGAAAAAAGACCCTTCTGTTTTTTTTTTTTCTCTCTTTAAGAACATAATTGATACAATAACAATTAGTATTATCTTAACCTCTTCAAGTAACAAATGTTTCTTTCCTAATTAACCAACCCTTATAAAAAACAAGTAATAAGGATTTTTTAAAAAAATTTTAAACTTATCCTAACTGAGATCAATGGTCAATTATAATCACGTGACTTGTCAATCAATTTGTCCATGTTATTTTCCTTTGTTTCTCTGTTTCTGTATACTGTATCGCAATATAAACAAAAATAGGAGTAATATTTTAGTAGCTACTAAGTAGAAAGAAATAATGGTAGGTAAGAGTCCCGAACATCACGTACGTAAAAACATTAATCCTTTGTATTTGGTTTGTGGAAGACCACGCTAGTTGTTGAAGCTATTTATAGCACACACGTTTAGAAAAACGTAGTGTCACTGCCTCCACATGAGATTCACGATGTCTTCCATTTATTTCCAATCCAATCCCACGCGTCTCTCCTTCATTTCTGCCACAATATTTGCCATCAATCCCATGCTACCAAATTTTAGATCTTATATAGTTCAATTTCATCAACATGTTTATCAGGATTTAAAACTAATTGTGTATATAAAATAGTTTTTCTTTGAGCATGTACTTATCAAATTTTTTATATTCCATTCAAAAACTCATATTTTATATCAAATTTCAATGATTAAATAATTAAATTTAAAATTTTTAATGTATAGATTAAATTTGTAAATTTTAAAAAAATTTAAAAATTATCTAATATTTTGTTATATTAATTTAAATTAATAAATAATTATAAAAATATTTTATACGTTAATTTGAATTAATAAAAAGAAATATTAAAAGATCTGTTAAAAGATATCAGTCCTTTAAATAGATTTTTGTATTTCAAAAGATTTTTTTTTAACTCTCAATCAATTTTATTAACAGAAAAAAAATTTATTCTTGAAAGAAATTTTTTTTTACCATTAATTAAAAATTATTTGTTGGAAAAGAAAAAAAAAGGCAAGAGGTTTCCCTCTTATTTCAATACTTGGTTCTAGAAAATGGAGGAGAGACGAGAAGGGGAAATAGTTTTTAATTTTCTTTTTTATAAAGCTTGGTTGTTTGAGTTAATTTTTAGGAGAGGGAAGGAGAATGAATGTGAAGTCCCACATCGATTAGGAAGAAGAACGAAGCATATCATATATATGGGTGTGGATACCTTCCTTATGTGG